CAATAACTTATATCATTGCAGTAAGGTCTGTAGAGATAATATTTGATTATATTTAAAAGAAACACATTGCCAGTAAAGATAAGATAATTGTTGCTAAATGTATATCTTAGGTTGTAAAAAAAAGGAGAAATTGATAAATTTTACATATGATGACCTGTCCAATTATTTCTGAAAACTGGTAGTTCTACGACCTGAGAAAACATTATTGTTTTATAAATACTGTAGACGTTCTCTGGATATCACTTTGTCGATTGGTCTTTAGGAATCCTCTAAGTACATATTCTCATGCCCAGCAATGGCCGCAGCCTTGCAGAAAATTGACATAGACCCAGAGTAGCAGCTTTACACACCAAATATAGTGGACATTGCTGCTGCTGTGATAGAGATGTATGAAGACATCTGAGGCTCTTTATTGGACACGACAACAACAACAGAAAATTTACATGGACCCAGAGCAGCAGCTTTACACACCCAAGATAGAGGACATTGTGACTGCTGTGATAGAGATGTATGGAGACATCTGAGGCTCTTCATTGGACACGACAACAACAACAGAAAATTGACATAGACCCAGAGCAGCAGCTTTACACAGCAACAATCCTCTAAGTTCTTTAGCGTGGTCTTTTTATGGTATAATGTCAATATTAAAGATTATATAGATGTGTGTGTGTGATAAAAATGAATTTGGAACTATTAAAGACGCGTATGATTCTTTAAGAATTAAACAATTTCTACTGACCTTACTGCAATGAAAAAAAAAATAAAAATAAATTAATTAATTAATGTGAGGGCCTGGCTCATCAGTTGTAAGCCCACCAGCGGTTTCGCCACTTTAATCTACCATATTAAACCTTTAAATTTTACTGGCGATTAAACTGGTGAAACCACTGGAAGGGTTCACCACTGATAAGCCAGGCTCTCAAATGAATTTTTCCATTGCAGTAAGGGCAGTAGAAATTGTTTAATTTTTAAAAGAATCATACGCGTCTATAATGGTTTCGAATTTTCATAATAGATGGAGCGCTAGTGCATTTTTTCCACCTTTGTAAAAATTGATTAGAAGAATCAATAAAATTGTTTTAAATTGTCCAAAAAATCGAATTCTTAAAAAAAAAAAAAAGATTTATATAATTAGTATAGGATCGATTCTTCGCGAGTTAGAGCGACTCATTAAACTACTCTCCAAGTCGGCACAAAAAGATTTACACAATAAGGAGTTAGAGAAGAAACTCACTGTGAAAGGGAAAGTTCCACTTCGGTTCCATCATCTCCTTGGACATAGCAAGTCTGAGCTAGAGCTGGAAGACAGACCACCGCTAGAAGCACCAACTTGTACACCATGCTGAGTGACCATTGAGGAAATTGTCGCAGAGGAAAACAAGAAAAACCGGGAAAACATCCGATAAGACCTCTTTCCCTTTTTCTTTTGTTTGGGGATCCTGTGGGATGCCCCCCCCTTTTTGGGGGTGGGAGCTTCTAACAAGGTCACACGTGGGCTGTCAGAAAAGGAGAATGTCACTTTGTGGAGAATTGTGTGCATTAAAACATGGGATGTTGATCTTTTGGTATAATTTAGCTTACTTTTAACACGCACAGCTTAACAATCTGATTTTTTTTACACACACACAAGCCTTTATTAGGACATTCCGTCTTATACAGACGATTCTCCTGTTAGAAATGGATATAAAAAGAAATGAGAAGCAGGGGAAGAAATTGAATCATCGCTCAGAAAAGAGAAAAATAATAAAACGGGGAAAGAATATCTATGTACAAAATACTATATACATCGTTTTTCGTGCATAGAACATAGTGAAGAATTAGACTTCGAGTAAATGGTTGCATCTTGTGAAGAAGAAAATATTTCCACTCAGTTCTAACTGTGTTAGATATTTTTTCCTCCTTGCAGTCTTGGAAAAATTAAATAATTTTAAAATAGCTGACCCATTATCCATCAAGTCTGAAAGAAAGGAATACAGCGAAAAGTGTGGATGAGCAGCTCTACCGCAAAAAATTTCTCTTTCAAAGCGAGAGACGTACATTCAAATATATAGTGTTCCAGTTCGGATATTTTATTCCTTTGGCAAAGTAGACAAAATATGTCCTCTTTTTTTACATTTTTCATGTGATTTTCCCGGTAGAAAACAAGAAGTATTCTTATTTGTGCAATGAATCTCTTAGCCGGCAGTGGAAGATTAGTAAATAATTTTCTGTGGCATATGATAACAATATAAATTTAAAATGATGTGTAAAGTTGTTGGCGCTTGATTGGGGCTGTCTAAAAGGGAAATGTCACTTTGTGACGAGTTATATGTATTTAAACATGGGCTGTTGATCTTTTGGCACAATTTATCTTTCTTTTAACACACAGAGCTTAACGAAATAAATTTAAAATTATGTGTAAAGTTGTTGAGGCTTGATTGGCTACTTGAATCTAATCTTCTGGAAGAAAAAAAAATATTTTTCTCTCACAAAGGAAGGAAGTTTTTTTTTCTTTGAAAACAATATCTTTCTAATAATAATATTAATAATAACTTTATTTTTCAGAAAGGTTACAGATTTTTCTCTAAAAAGTGTAACGAATGGTCAGTCTATTTACACATTTTTATTTACAACTTCAATAAGTAACAATAGCAAAAGTAAACAAAGATATTTACAATTGTTATCTTGACTCCTGGTCAGTGCTGTGGCCCTCGCAGCTATGGTTCCCTGATGTCCTGCAGCTCTCCAGCAGTCTTTCTATGGCCTCTCCTGGTGGTTCCTGGATAAAATGGTCCCCTGGCCATCTATTTTTGTCTGTCAGGTCTCCTGTCATCTGCTCTAGGTCGTTCTCCTGGATCTCTTCTATGGTCGTCGTATCCCTGTGCTCCATGTCCGCTGTTCCACCTTCCTCGTTTTCACACGCCAGCTCCCTACATCGTTCCAACAATCGATCCATGGCTTCTATTCCTTTATTTTTCAGGGACTTATCGTGAGGTTCATTCTTCTTTTCTGTTGAGATAATTTCCATAGTATTTTTTAGGACCAAGGATTGAATATATACGAAGTCCCTTTTTCTTATGTTTATTTCCTTCTTATATTGTTTGTTATATTTGGTTACTATTCCATCCTATGTTAAGACTATCGGCACTACTTTTTACGGGCATTTTTTTCGGTTTGAGCCATTTCCCTTACCAGTAGCTGGTATTTTATTTTCTTTGTCAGCTCCGTAGTTTGGATATTGTCTTGGGATGTAACGCCTATCTCAATGATTGTTATGTCTTTTTTATTTTGTCATATACTATTATATCAGGTTTGTTAGCTCTGATATTAGTATCGCTTATCATAGGCAAGTCCGTTATTATCTTGGCGTATAAATTTTCAATTTTAGTTGTTATTTTGTGGAGCTTTATCTTGTTGTTCTCAGTGAAATTATACTTTCTTGACAGATTGAAGTGGACGCATCTCACCACTTCATTATGCCTCTCAGTGTAGTCGTAAGGAAGCAATCTTCCACAGTTTGTAGCAAGGTGGTCCACCGTCCTCTGTACCTTTTCACAGTGAGAGAATTTCAGGTTTTTATCCTTCGGGAACACGTTTCTATCTTGAATGAACATATAGAAACCTTTATTTTACGGAGTGTTGTTTCCCGTTTTGAGCCACTGTGATGATTCGGGTATCCCTTCCCTTCTACAGTAGTATATAAAACGAATAAAATTAAACGACGTTTATTAATATTCGTTTTATGTACTCCTGTAAAAGGGCAGAAATACCCGAAAGCCTGAGATTACATTAATACAGCTACGTGGAAAATTAGGAAAGACAAACTTCTGGATGACACAGCAATTTATTTAAGGCAAGAACAAACTATGAGTGATAAACAAAAGATAAGCAATGAGGGAAGTTTATTTGTACTAGTGCAGTTAGGGCAGTAGAAAAAAAAATATATATATATATATGTCATAAATAGTTGAATATATATATATATGTTTATATATATAAATAAGTGTTTGTATGTTTGTTTGTTTATATGTCCGGTATACAAATTCGCAGTAGTTCACTAATTCAAACCAAAATTTCCATTCATAGGTAAAAAAAATACGGGGAAGACGATAGGCTATTTTAAAAATATATATAAATCAATTATTAAAACTACATATTCAAATTATTCTACTTAGTTCACGAACAGCGCCCTCTATCAAAGATTAGATTAAATTATGCTGATGCAAACAAATAGATAATGCTAATAACAAACAATTATTAAAAAAAATCTTATCTAAATATATATCACTCGGGTAGATATGCACACGGGTCAATCCCGGGGCGAAGCCCGGGTCACCCGTCTAGTATATATATAATTAAAAAGGCAATATATCTCCTGAACTCCCACATGAGCATTTTAGATGGCAGAGCGCCATCTAGTGGAACAAAAATCAACTAAACATTGATTTAAATTGTTCTGTGATATTTAACCAACCAATTTTCTTGAAAAAAAAAATAAAGAAAAGTCAACCACGTACGCGTTTTGGTCTGTTGGCTTTTCTTGATTACAAAACAACAAAAATATGAGGAAAAGCAAATAAACTTTAAATTAGATTTTAATTGTCCAATTTACTAATTCGGTAAAAATATATATTGATGAAGAATATTAGGTTCTAAAGTAATACTTAAAGTAATACTTTTCTGTGATAAATCAATATTTATTTCAAAGAGAAATATCTACTATTTCTAACTTTTTTGGATGACGTATGAAAGGGTGAAAATATGAAGAGTGATGGTCTATATATAATTGGATGACGTATGAAAGGGTGAAAATATGAAGAGTAATGGCGAACGGAAAAATAAAAGTGTCCAGGGGCGGGAATTAGAAATAGTAGATATTTCTCTTTGAAATAAATATTGATTTATCACAGAAAAGAAACTTATGCGGTGCAACTTTAAGTATTACTTTATAATCATACGCCGCAGTCCTTTATAATGTATTATAAGTTACTTTAAGTATTAGTTACGAACGGAAAGATACGTCCAGGGTAGCCTAGTGGACATGGCATCTGCCCGGTAATTGGAAGGTTGTGGGTTCGATTCCCGCCCCTGGACACTTTCATTTTTCCGCTCGCCATTACTCTTCATATTTTCACCCTTTCATACGTCATCCAATTATATATAGACCATCACTCTTCATATTTTCACCCTTTCATACGTCATCCAAAAAAGTTAGAAATAGTAGATATTTCTCTTTGAAATAAATATTGATTTATCACAGAAAAGAAACTTATGCGGTGCAACTTTAAGTATCTACTTATATATTTGCCTTATTCTGTCTGTTTGTCTGTATGTCTGAAGCTCACGGATAGAATGCGCGCCCATTGGCTGCCAGCGAACACGTGGCCTCCCTGCCCCCCTCTAGACAACCCTGTTATCAGCTGTGCGATACATACACCTGTCTATAGCGGCCACTCTAGACAACCCTGTTATCAGCAGTGTGCTACATCCACCTGTCTAAACAGACCACTCTGTCTATAGCGGCCACTCTAGACAACCCTGTTATCAGCTGTGTGATACATCCACCTGTCTATACAGACCACCCTGTCTATAGCGGTCACTCTAGGCAACCCTGTTATCAGCTGTGTGATACATCCACCTGTCTATACAGACCACCCTGTATATAGCGGCCATTCTAGACAACCCTGTTATCTGCTGTGTGATACATACACCTGTCTATAGCGGCCACTCTAGACAACCCTGTTATCAGCAGTGTGATACATCCACCTGTCTATACAGACCACCCTGTCTATAGCGGCCACTCTAGGCAACCCTGTTGTCAGCTGTGTGATACATCCACCTGTCTACACAGACCACCCTGTCTATAGCGGTCACTTTAGGCAACCCTGTTATCATCAGTGTGTTACATTCACCTGTCTATACAGACCACCCTGTCTATAGCGGTCACTTTAGGCAACCCTGTTATCATCAGTGTGTTACATTCACCTGTCTATACAGACCACCCTGTCTATAGCGGTCACCTTAGGCAACCCTGTTATCAGCAGTGTGATACATCCACCTGTCTATGCAGACCACCATGTCTATAGCGGTCACCCTAGGCAACCCTGTTATCATCAGTGTGTTACATTCACCTGTCTATACAGACCCCCCTGTCTATAGCGGTCACCTTAGGCGACCCTGTTATCAGCAGTGTGATACATCGACCTGTCTATACAGACCACCCTGTCTATAGCGGTCACCTTAGGCAACCCTGTTACCATCAGTGTGTTACATTCATCTGTCTATATAGACCACCCTGTCTATAGCGGTCACCTTAGGCGACCCTGTTATCAGCAGTGTGATACATCCACCTGTCTATACAGACCACCCTGTCTATAGCGACCACTCTAGACAACCCTGTTATCAGCTGCCTGTCTATACAGACCACCCTGTCTATAGCGGCCACCTTAGGCAACCCTGTTATCATCAGTGTGTTACATTCACCTGTCTATAAAGACCACCCTGTCTATAGCGGTCACCTTAGGCGACCCTGTTATCAGCAGTGTGATACATCCACCTGACTATACAGACCACCCTGTCTATAGCGACCACTCTAGACAACCCTGTTATCAGCTGTGTGATACATCCACCTGACTATACAGACCACCCTGTCAATAGCGACCACCCAAGACAACGTTTTTAAAATATATTCGCACTCGGGTAAACCCCGGGCGTTGCCCGGGCCATTCGTCTAGTTACTTTATAATCATACGCCGCAGTCCTTTTTATAATGTAAAATATTAGGTTCGTTACCTCCGTCTTTTTTTTTTTGTCTTTTTGTCTTCAGAACAAGTGTACGCCCTTAAAGCCGATACATAAGCTTGGTTCTGTTGTTAAATCTTGATGTCAGACATTTTAACATTAAGAAGGTTCATCTCAGATTTATTAAATTATAAATTTAAATTATTCACCGTTATGTATAATGTCTTTGTATTATGTTCAAAGTAATTATATTATTATTAAATATTCGCCGTAATAATATTATTCGGCAAGTAATAAGAAAAACACGACATTTTAGGACAACCTTATAGTATGAAAGATATATTGTACTAGGGCATCAGATGGATAAATTAAAAAAACGGCATCTCCTGATGGTACAACTAAAAGTTCTGTCGAAATAAATATCAACGAACCATTTTCAACTTTTAGTTTCACATCAGGAGATGCCTTTTTTCCCCTTAATTTTAAACTCTTGTTTCACACATTCTTGCAAAATTATTTTATAATAAAAACTTCTTTGTGTGAATGAAATTTGGATTATAGAATAAATAAAGCTCCCAGGGCTAAGTATCTTGTACAAACTTTTTATTTTCAAGCTTTCAGACTTGTCAGTCCTTCAACAGAATTATCACGCTAACAAATGTTCTTCTCAAATTACAAAACTATTTTAGACGCGTAATATTCTTTTTTTTTTTAAATAAAACAATTTCTACTGCCCTTACTGCAATGGAAAAATTAAAGGGAGGGCCTGGCTCATCAGTGGTGAACCCTCCCAGCGGTTTCGCCAGTTTAATTTACCATACCGCTGTTTTATTGCATTTTTGGAACTTCCTTTTATAGTGATACTGAGATGCTTGACTCTTCAAATGGGTATTTTAGATGAACTATGGACATATGCTTTCAGGAAAGCAGAATTACATATAATTATAAATATCGAAATTTTCTTCTACTCTTTATTTCTTCTACCTACTTTTCATTTTTCCAATTCATATAAAAACAGAAAACGAATGCATCTTTCCCTCTTCAAATTATCTTCTTTTTATTTATTAATAATATTAGCAATATAAGAAACCAGGATGCATCTGCGGAGGAGAAATTCAAGACTTGAAATATCTACTTCTGGAATGTCCAATTTTCGAGATTATAGGGGAAGAAAATTGGTGGCATTGGACAGCTATATGAATTCGTAGATGAGAAAAGAACATATATTTTGTAGAAATATATACAACTATTCAATTAAAAAGTCATATATTGGATCAAAATATCATTTATTTTACCAATATTTCAGTTGGCTGAATGCTAACCTTTATCAAAGTATTAAAACATATTAATGTGTGTCAACAACAAACTCAACGCCACATAACGTCGATAGAATTAAGTTTTAAAAAAATCCTATTGACGTTATGTGGCGCTGAGTTTGTTGTTGACACACTTTAAAATGTTATCACACCTTGATAAAGGTGGCGTTCAGCCAAATAAATATTGGTAAAATTAATGATATTTTAATCCAATATATGTCTTTTTATTTAAAGATTTATTTATGGATTGCTTTATTTTCAAAACGATATACAACTATCTTTTGAACTGGGAAAGAGAAGGAACTTCCATCAATAATCGACAATATGACCCAGAATAAGTATATTGCTACGGCGTTTTATGGTTTCCACAAGTCCATATCTCAGTAGAAGGCCAAGTGACACTCACTCCTCACTTTCTTACTGCTACTCTTTTTGTGTTGTTTTTCTTGCTTCCCTCTTTCTCTTTCTTGTTTTTTTTTTTCGTTTTCTTCTGTATATATCGTTATTTCCTTTGTCTCACTGCTTTGTTCTTATGCATACCTCTGGTGAATCCTGTATAGGGTCAGTGACCCTAAATAAAGGCTTTTTGTTGTTGTTGTTGTTTGTTGGGAAAGAGAAGGAAAGACATTTTGAAGAAATTGTTTTTGTATGTTCGTCTTTTTTCTCCTTAACAAATTTTCTTTGGAAAATTATGTTAAACAATGTAATTGTATAAGCTTGTATATAGCTAATTTGTTATGATGTAAAGAAATGTATTGACGCAAATATCCCTGAGTTCGAGATATCGTGTTATAGGATGTTAATAAAGTAATAATATGATTTTTATACATATAATTAATTTTGACTGGAAGGCAGCTGATTCCACACTAGCCTGTTCAGTGATACGCTAACCTTGACGTATGTACGAAGGAACGTGTGGCCACTGGACATGCGTCGGACAAGGAGGCTGTTGTTGGGTGCTGCGCTGCCTGGAGTATAGGAGCTCCATCTATTATTTCTTCCTGTGGTTATTCTGTATAAGACTGGTGGTCTTTATAAAGCTTTGTGTGTGTAAATACACTTTTCAAAAAATATATATACTGAGAGAAATTTTTTAATCTCTAAGTAAAATCTATTTTCCTATAGCCATTTTTAATAGAATGCATAATTAAATTAAAAAAAAAACACAAATACAAAAAAATTAATCATATGGGTAGAAGGAATTTAAAACGTATTTCTATACAAAAAAAAAAAAACTGTGATTCATTATAACCTTTTTTTTTTTAAAGAAAGAATTTAATTTCTCTAAAAATTTCTACCAAATCTAACAAAAAATAATCTAGAGATGGTTAAAAAATTCTTGAAGCTTTTTCCCTTTTATTAACTATCTTTCGACTACGAAACAATTTTATAATCTTTAAAAAGTCGACGGCTTTGAAGTTAGCTAATCTGGAAGAAAGAGATTGTTTCTCAAAGAAAAAAACGAACTTCCTTCCTCTGTGGGAGAAAAATCTTGTTCTTTTTTTCTTTCCAGAAGATTAGATTCAAGTAGCCAATCAAGCCGCCAACAACTTTACACATCATTTTAAAATATTCCGCTATTTTGATGTGAATTTTCTTAGAAAATAAATCATATTTGCATCCCAATTTTATATCATTATTTGGACTTTTATCAAACGAAATTACCTAGTTATAAATTTGGATATTCTTTTTGTATAATTTAAATTTGAATATGCATTTCATAAGTGCATTTCGTCTGATAAAATTTTTGGTTTCGATCTTATGGCAAAGAAATAAATTCTTATGAGATTAAGAATGGGACTCTTCTGCCGAGTATAAGATCTAAGTTCTTTATATAGGAGAATTCTTGTTTAATTATTTTATTTTACATATCGGACGCTATATCCCAGCTTGGGATACTTGCGCCTAAATACAATTCAGCAACCTATATACAATTCAATACACAAGACTAAAACAAAATTAAAACTTAAAGGTTGGTTTTCTCAAACAGAAAAGAAAATCTAAAATGAATTTACAAAATTTATTGAATTTTACATA